TTTCCCCTTAAAGAAGTTTGGAAAACAGCAAAAAAACTAGCAAAAATTTAATGCAGCATTTTTAAAATAATACGAAACGGGTTTGAAAGACGTAATTTTTCAATTAAAAGGTGAAAGATTTCCTCGCAGAAGGAAAAAAGTGGCAAAAGGTTTCAACTTTTAAAAAAAGTAATTAACCGGGTCAGGATGACCAAAATGGTTCAAGGTTGGGTTTACACATAGAAAAACGAAAAAGGACCCCCTCTAAAAAAGGAAAACAATGAAGGTTTTTTTAAAATCAAGATATTAAATACATTTTATAATAGGGGGAAGCAAAGCCCGGGGGCCCCGCGAAGGGGGCCCGGGGTTTTCCCCGGGCATAGACTACAAAAAAAAAAACAAAAAAAAACAAAAAAATAAAAAAAACCCTTCAAAAATTTTTCCACTAGCCCACCGCCTTTTTACAAGTAACTCAAATAAAGGGCGGGGCCGATAAAGTTTACCAAACTTAAAATTTTTCGGATAAAAATAACGTCAAAGTTTTTTTCCGGGGGGAAAACGGAACAGTGCATGAAATCCCCGAATGACACCTTTAAAACGGGGGGAAAATAAAAGGAATATTTTAAAACTTCCCCGTTCATGGGCTTTGCCAATTTTCATTTTATTTGTTAAATTATTAAAAAATTTTGGGGGGCCCCCAAAAAGATTGGAAATTAAATTAAGTCACACAGAATAAGCTTTTCAAAGAAAAAAATATTCTTTTATTTTTTTATTTTTAATTTAAAGCCAAATAATAAAAAAAACCAAAAGGAAAGGGACATAAATTTTTTAACTCAACGTAAAACCCCAACAAAAAACAGAAAAAAAAGGGGACAAAGTATAAAATAATTTTCCAAAAAATGTTCTTAAAATTTTTAAGATTACACTTTATTTTAAAATTATTTGAATATAAAATTGAATTTAATTTCCTAGATTTGTGAAGCCCAGGAGAAGACCAGACAAATGATTGTTCTACTGGCAAGATTGCAGAAGAATAAACAAATTCTAGAAACCTTCAAGCATGAGGACAGAGCTATATGGAACCAGAAACTGAAAGAATTTTTTATCAAAAAAGGGTTTGGAACAAACATCGGGGTTTTCCCCATGTTTTCAACGGGAGGTCAATAACCCCCTTTTTAAAGGTTTTTGAGATTTTTTAAGGGGTCGGCCCGGGGGGGCCCCAAAACGGTAACAAATCATTATAAATAAAATTTTCAAAAAGGGGAAGTTTTTTTCAAACACCCAAATTTAAAAAACAAATTTTTAAACAAATAACGGGCCTTTTTTACACAACACAAAGGAGCACCGACCTACCTTTTAGCCCCTTGCCCTAAACCCCTTTTGTTTTTTTTGCAACTTATTTTATGTAATAAGTTTTTTTTTTCAGAAAATTTTTATTTCGATGTAAGAATTCATACATTATATACATGTTTAAAAAAGCATGCTTTATTTTTACTAGAATGAGCTTGAAGTTGTACAAAAAGAGTTGACAAGCGAAGAAAATATTAAACATCTCCGGGCTAAAGTTTCTGAAAGGAAAAAGAAAAGGGTAACTAATTTATTATTTATTGTTGAAATTTTAATATATATATCATATGTAATTGTGATTAATAGTATTGATTATTCTTAACATGGCTATTTACAACTTAATTATTTTAAACTCTGTGAAATTATTTACCATCTTATAATTTATTGTTTGATTTTCAGTGAGTATACACATGTAGGAGACAATGTTAGTCTAGCAGATTATTTCTTATATCCTTTACTTGTATCCTCTCTATGAAAAAACAACAACAAACAAACAAACATGAAATTATCTTTAAAAAAAGAAAAAACGTTTCTCTAAACTTCCTATAGATTTGAATGAATATATGAAGTCTTGTCATTTTTATGTGTGGATAATATGATGTATTTTTTAAGCTCACCGGAGCACAAAGTGCCCAGTGATAATGTGATGTTATTAAATGTAATGGTAGTCAATAGTGCAAACAGAACAAAAATAATTGTTTGAAAGTTACAAAATGTGTAATAGGGTACTTTTTAGATCAGGATATTTCAAATTGGATTGGTCTGTGCCAGTGTAAACATTTTACTGCAATGTTTTCTTTTTTTCCATATAGTTGTATTTTAGATTTTATAATTTCAGTGTTAAGATATTAATTTATTACTGTATACAGTTCAACAACAATGACCTACCTTGTCATTAGTTGAGTGAATTAGTTTTACAGGAGATTGATTTTGTATTGACTTCGAAATATCTTGCTTGCCCGCTAATTAGCATATAACAGCTTATTACCCATTATGGGAATGCCGAGGTATTTACCGATGATTTTATGAATTTATAATTGAAATACAATGGTTTTTTTATTGTTTTCGTTTGGGCTAAACATTTTGTATTTGTAAATCACTTATCATTATTGTGTAGTGACTTTAATTGTGCATGAAGTAAGGTTATTTTGAGCCTTTTTGAGTAAAGCTCATTTCTACAACACAATGTATATTGTTATTTAGGAGAGGATAAAACAACGCAAGAAGGAATTATATGAGCAGAACGAGGAAATGATGATAGCCAGAGAACGTAAACATGCTGAAATTGATAAAGCCATGCAGCAACTAATTGAGAAACAGAAACTTGAAAAACAGGTACCTGTAATGATAAACAATATCATTATTTTAACATTTTTTTAACCCTGATTTTATGTATTAGAATTTTCTTACGTTTAAGTTTTGATTGTGTGTTTGAGGGGATCCTATGTGGAAATGATTGAATTGAGCTGCCTGCTGTATAGTGTTAGACATAAATGCTGCCCTTGCTTTCAAAAGGTTGAATTCATTACATCGTCAGACATGCAGTGTTATTGCCATGGTTACCTGTAAGTGGAAAGATCTCATCGGGGTGTATAATTGCACTGTCCAGTGTCCAAGAACCATTACTAACTTATCTTTTTACTGTAAATAGTAACAATTAATTATTTTGTATAGACTTTCTTCATAGTTTGACACAATACTTTTCTTGGCAAAGCCGTAAATAAGACCCCCTGAACTTGACCTTGACATATACTGTGAATTCACTTAATTTTGTGGGATAAGAAAAAGGTTTAGTGACAGAGTTATTAGGTAAAGAATATTAATATCTAATTTACAGGAGAAAGACATGCAGAAGGAAGCTGATGAAATTTTGAGTCAGGTCCGCAAGAAACTGACAGAAGCCAATAAATCAATCCAGGTGATCAACAGTATGGAAAAACTGCGGAAATTACGTACTGACAGACTGGAGAGACAGGGTGAGATTATATTTTGTGTATATATTTAATTATATTTTGATAATTAAATATAATAATTTATCTGCAACTATATTAAAATCATGGAACATGACTGAACAGAATGGTTTTGTTGATTTTCCGTATTATGTAGCCTGGGTTCCAGTCTCACAATTTTTTTATGTGCTTCTGTTCTCCAAATACTATATAAAACATGAACAAATATGAAATAGTGCGTATGTTATGAAAAAGCAAAAAGTATGGTATAAACTATCAACGCCTGAATCCCAGGCTACGTATAATGATAAAATCCTTATTTTTCTTTGTTGTGATGCATGTACTGGTATATAAATCATGCATCTGGTCAGCATCTCTTCAAACAAGCTCAGAATTTTCTAGACAAATCAGATGACTTTCAGAGAGTGAAATGCTTTCGAGATTGGCCATATATTTATTTATTAAAATGTTTTCCAATTCATAGGCGCACATGTATTTATATTTCATTAATTGGTTATCTCTTCAATCAAGGTGTACTGAGTATGTACGAGTCTCAAGGTCACAGCTCAACAAATAAACTAATGTTTGAGGCGAAGTTGTCCAACATGAAAGATTTACTGAACAAACAATTAGAGATATACAAGGCTGAAGAAGCTGCTCTGAAGGTAATATCAGTAAAAACTCTCTAAACTGGAACTGTTCTTGACCAGCATAAATTTCCAGTTTAGAGAGGATTTCGGATTGCGATTTTTTTCTCTCTTTTTGGCAATGAAATTCACAATGAAATCTTCATAGCATAAAAACTGTCGTAAGACCATATCTCTTTGGATAATGAAATTTTAAATAATTAAATAATTTGGACAAAGAATGACTTGAAATGTTAAGTCTATACACATGGTACACTCCTTAGGTAGTTTTTGATGACTTTTGGCGCCAGTAAGTTTAATACACTCGCCAATTGTGGGCAATTGCATCTATGACAGCATTATGCATCTTTTAGCATTTAACTTTAATTTACGTATATCTAGGCAAGCATTTTGTACTTAGATATAGACAATATGGAATATTTGATATAGGTTCACTTAGAGACTGAGCAAGAAGAAACGAGAGAAAAAGAAAGAGAAAAGACAAGACTACGGAGGATAGAGAGACAAAAACAGGAGAGGAAGAAAGAAGAAAACATTTTATTTGGCAGTCAAAGTAAGACCCAAAACTTTATATTTCAAAGTCAGTAAATAAATTAAGGATATTTAATGAGTGTAGATTTAGTACTAAATTTATTGAACGAGTTAAATAAAATCATATTATATGACCCTCTCACCAAGTTGAATAAATTTAGTATTGAATCTACATAAATATAATCTATTTATCACATGAGTGATTTTTGTTGAAATAATGTGCAATGCAACGTACAAAATATATGTTTGTATATAAGGCAAATGATGTCACATCAAAGTGATATTACACTAGTCAGGGCTGGGAATCAAAACTGCGTCGTATCCTACAAAATGTAAACAAACGCCGCCATCTTGGAACGAAAAACGTATGTTTTTGTTTATAACTTTTATTGTTGGAAATGACTGAAAACGAAGATATATGTATTAACACGCTACACTATTTTCCGCTTCGTTTGGTATATGTTGCTTGCACAACTGTTTTGTAAAACAAAAGTTATAGCGAACTTGCAACTCGAAGCGGGGCATAATTTTTATGAAAATGTGTGGATACGACGCAGTTCATATTGCTTTATCTATCGTTTTTTCCTTCAAATCAATTATATATTTGTTTCAGAGTTAACCATAAACTTCGAAATATAATTTTGCATCATTTACTAAAATTTCATTAAAAAGAAATGTTTATTTTCCAAGAAAATAATGATTTTTACGAAATGATACGACACAGTTGAAAATAAAATATGATACGACGCAGTTGTATTTTTGGCAGTCTTTTCAACAGGGATAATTTTGGCAATACATTTCTATTTTATGGAATAATCACTTGGGCTAGATAAAAAAAACCCAGATCATTTGCGGTGTATAGCAATGTTCTGTTGCTTTTGATTATTTAGAATACAATGTGTCATGTCAATTATACCATTTAATTTGAAAGTTTACATTGCGGAAGCGACTTAATTTTCAGTTAAACATGAACATGTTACCTTGTTGATCATAATATGTGAAATAATTTCTTATATTTTCCTGTATGTTCAATATTATCCCTAATTTTTTTTCGCAAAAACAATGTAGAAATCTATTTACTTGAATTCATTTTGGCTAGCTACGCTCTAAGTTAACTGTGGTTCTGCATGTTCTGGGTAATGACTGCTTTTTTGTGGTTTCTTTTCAAACTTTCACTCTACACATTAGCTTAACTAGGGGCGAGGACCTCAGGTGCGCCTTTGTGCATTATTTCAGGCAAAATGTTGTACCTGCAGAGAACCATCGACATTTTGAAACTAGCTTGATAGGTTTTCCACACGAAAGAATAAAAAGTCCCTGGTGGTTTTCGAATTCATAGCAGTTCAGTTCAAGTGATTTGAATTCAGTTAACATAAACAGCTCGGCTTCGGTCGGACACACCTGTCTGATTTGTTTTTTCAACACAATTTGTTAACGTCAGCTACAAATAAGCAGCTTTTTTTATTAACTTCTGGCGTGAAGTTTTAAGATTATAAATATTTGAATTAATTATAAAGAGAATAAAATTTAAATTTCTTATTTCGGTATGACTAGCAGAGAAATTTTCAATGTAAACAGGGGGTAATCCTCTGTGAAGTCATTTTCTGAAAACTTTTGTTTAAGTTTTCAGGCAATTCATTATCAAATAAAAATCACACTTGAGTATGAAGGTATGTTAAGATGTCATGTCTCTAGTCTGTTGAAAATTCGATACGATAATCTGACCTAAATTTTCTGTTCAATATTGTGAAAACTTAATAATTCTTCAATACTGTTGAAAGATCATGTCTGCCTATATCTGCATCAAATTTATCGGTTCATAGCGTGAAATACCTTTGCAAAACGGACACCATTTTTACAAAATAATTTTTAGTTGTATCATATGTAACTCGATTTTGAAAATTAAAGTTTTTTGACGGAGAATAATGATAATTATAAGTGCAAATGTAGAAAATACATTCCGTAGACCTTTCCTCATCGGCGATAAAGAAACGCAATACGACAAAATCAGGGGTAAAGTTCCGCGGCACTGAACATAAAATGACTAAAGGGAACGCATAACCTACTTGCAAAAATATATTGTAGCTTAACCATTTATTATATAATTTTAACAATTTAATGTTCGTTTCAAATAATAAAGCTCATCTGTTCTCATCGATTATTAAGAAAATGAAGACAATAAAATCGGCACGTAAAAGACATACGTAATAATTAACGGAATTGACGGAAATTATTGCTAATTACAAGTAACAAAGGATCGCATGCAATTTGCGCATTTCGATAGCGAGAGACCTTTTCAAAATTTGTAATTCTTTCTCTTTTGTTTTTTGTCATTCCTGATTAATACAGGGTCCAGGAGAGGTTACACTGGAATATTGAATTTTGTATCAAAAATAGTAATCACTTCCATTTCAAACTCACGGGAACAAGTTTATAAGCATGCTAAGGCAACACTAGAACACGTTGTCATATGGGTGTGCGATAACGTGTTTCAATGTATATTGCATTTGATACAGCTTTTCGGAATTTGTAGATGCTTATGATTAGTACTAAAATGCGATCGAAAAATGCAGCCTTAATAGAATTGTATTAAATTTCCATTTTTATGAAACCAATGAGTGACCTCTGCTTTTGACTTAAGTTGTAAACAAGAAATGTTGTTGGACGTTATTAGCATATACGGTTACCTAGCACATAATTAAAATACTTTAACCAATATTCAGCTTGCAATGAAAATACAACTGCGTCGTATCATATTTTATTTTCAACTGCGTCGTATCATTTCGTAAAAATAATTATTTTCTTGGAAAATAAACATCTCTTTTGAATGAAAGTTTAGTAAATGATGCAAAATTATGTTTTGAACTTAATGGTGAACTCTGAAAACGAGTATATAATTGATTTGAAGAAAAAACGATGGATAAAGCAATATGAACTGCGTCGTATCCACATATTTTCATAAAAATTCTGCCCGCTTCGATTTGCAAGTTCGCTATAACTTTTGTTTTACAAAATAGTTGTGCAAGCAACATATACCGAACGAAGCGGAAAATAGTGTAGCGTGTTAATACATATATCTTGTTTTCAGTCATTTCCAACAAAAACAGTTATAAACAAAAACATACTTTTTTCGCTCCAAGATGGCGGCGTTTGTTTACATTTTGTAGGATACGACGCAGTTTTGATTCCCAGCCCTGACTAGTGTAATATTGTTTTTATTAAATGGGGTTTATTACAATGCTGCGCTTATTTGATAAAATGACATCAGTAACCTTTTTTTCTTGCCAGTAAACAACTCAAGTGTTTCATTAGCAAGTTGACCGCCTCCGTGGTCGAGGGGTTAGAGTTGATGACTTCCAGTTACCTCTCTGGCGTGGGTTTGATCCCCGGGAGATGCTTTGGTAGTTTAGCATGGAGGAAAGTAGTCTAGTACTGGTGTAACTCTCCAGGAACGATGGTTAGAAAACTACCCGCCTATATGACTGAAATACTGTTTGGAAAAGGCGTAAAATGAAACAAACAAACAGACAAACAATTAGCAAGTTGTTTTTTGAGACATAAAAAGTTAGTTGTAATACCTAAAAAAATTACCCCATATACCAGATGGTATGGCCTTGGTTGAGCTTTGTCACTTGGCCAGCCAGCTGGTTACCTGAGAATTTTGCTGCTTAATATGGAAATCCTTCTAATATGTCCATCTTAGCATCTGTACTTTGAAATGAGCCGTGTCATGACAAAACCAACATAGTGCGTTTGCGACCAGCATGGATTGAGATCAGCCTGCGCATCCGCGCAGTCTGATCAGGATCCATGCTGTTCGCTTACAAACACTATAACAAGTAGAGAAACTGATGGCGAACAGCATGGATCCTGATCAGACTGCGGGGATGCGCAGGCTGATCTCAATCCATGCTGGTCGCAAACGCACTATGTTGGTTTTGTCATGACACGGCTCAAATATTAATAGTTACTGTCAAATATGAATTTTGGTTCTTTTTAGTGTCACTGTGGCAAATCCATTCTCAGTAGAGGATTTTATTTTGTTTATTGTTTGGCAAAGGTCTTGCGTGTTTTTGAAGAACTAGAACTGAGATGTTGAATAACCTGTGTTTTATTGATGTGAATATGACTGTACACATTGTGTCATTGACAGAAAAACTTTTAAGCTTTATTACATACCTGTGCAGCTTTTACGACTCCTGAAAAATGTGTGGCATAGCTGTGCATATACATGTATTTTGATGTGAGGGCATTAGCATTATACAAAATAAAGTTTTATATTTGTATTAATTTAACACAAACATATAGAATACTGTTTTCATGATATTACAGAAGAACCTGTACCAGGTGACCCAATATATCCATTTAGACAATACTATGATGCTGCTAACCATAGTATAGACTCCTTACTAGCTATCAGGTATGTATAAGTAACAAATATCATATGTTATCATAGAATTTGTTCATTTGCTATCACAATCGTTATAAAAAGGACAGTCACAGAGAGTTTGGCAAATGTGTTACAAAGTAATATCAAACCAGAATAATTATAAAACTAAAAGAGTAAAAATGTATAAAATTGTTATTTAATCTGGCTATTCAACCTATTTTAAATGGGTTTTAGCAGATGGACAAAATCCTACCACACGAAAACCTACCTTGTAAAATATTTGGTAGCTTGTTACAGTTTCCAATAAATACTCATTTGTCATATAGATGAACTATCTTTTGCTCTGTTGGCAGTTGGGTATGATTATAGACTTTCATAGTGAATTAGTATTTTGTATGGAAGCCAAACTACTACTTTGTTTACATTTTGTTACCTTTATGACTCATAACTGCACATTCAGTGCTATTTTCTTCAGCTGTTAAACATCTAACATGATTTAAATAAATGATGAAAACATTATGTAACACATGTTTGATATTTTCTAAATAATTATATAAATAATGATTTCTAAGGCATAATGAGCCTTTAATCACTTTCCAAAAAAAGTTCTTCTTGGTGATAACAGATATCAGGGTCTTTCAAAAATCTATTTGAAAGACCCTGCAGATATGTATATTTTTGATTATATTACTTTTGAACTTTAAATAATTTTACATGTATAAAAAATTAAAAATAATTAATTACTTGTAATTAGTTAATTTATTTATTCATGCTATTGCTATATTTGTAGGAGAGAGTGGGACAGCTTTCTCACAAGTGCAGATATTGGCTCTCGTATACCTGACACCTGGGTCATACCTGAGCAACCATCTTCAGAACTATGGGGATCAGCTCTTAAAACGTGATGAGCAGCTGACTGGAAACAATTGGAAACATGACTCTAGATAGACTGGTTAATCAAATAAGGATCTTTTGTCCAAAGTCATTAGATGTCTTAGCAGAAGGAAAAAAGAAACATGAGGGATGCTGGAAACGGAAGCAAGCTATTATGTAGTTTTAAAATGCTTATAAATTCAATGTATAGTTGAAATTTCACAATCCAGACTCTTTCTTGACATGGTAAAATGTCCAGATTATGGAGGATTACAGAAATTTTTCTTCTTTTACCATGTTAAAGAATTTCTTTGCAAAAAAAACTCAAAATCAAGTTAATGATTAAATACATACATGTAGTTTCAGTTGGACACACATGAGGACACTTATTCAGTTGGATATGTTAATAGATTACCTGAAAATTTAAGCGAAAATAAAGTTGAAAAAAAAAAATGAAAATTTGTCAATTTTCTACCGGTTTTCCAGAATTTAGTGGATATTGTTTAAAGACTTAATTTTTGTATATCGTAATGTATTGCTGATCTGGGACTATAAAATTCATCCATTTATATTAAGTAATATGGAGTATTTTGATTAAAGTGTTTGCTGGGGAAAAATGGATGTAATAACCACTGAGGCGTATGGTTGAATATTTAGTTTAAACATATTGTATTTAGCAAATTTACAAGCATGTATCATTTTACTTCTCAATATAGTAATATTGATTGGAAAACAAGCATATCTCTATTATATTAATTCCTTTCCATGATGGAGTTTCGTCTTCATTATTTCACTTAATATGGTCAGTGCATATTTTAAATTTCAATATTGATGTAAATAAGTGAATTTTCTGAAAGTATTGGTTAAATATTTAAAATTCACTTCCAGCTGTACTAAGAATGAGGAATTGTGTCCATTGTTATCCACAATTTCATTGAACAACATCTATTCCTTAACCACAGCTGTGACATTGACAAAAGCTGAACGTTTTTAAACTAATACATAAAAATTGTTGTATGTTGAAATTATGATGAAAGGAAGGAAAAACGGGTATCAAAAGGGACAGAAATATCTTGAAAGAAGGAAAATATAAAGAAATATATCCAGCAGTTATCTAAGTACAAATACATGTAATGTGATAACTAGTTACAATAATGAGTGACTTATTAATTTTAAAATTATCTGACCCAATATGGGCAGTATAAGCAGTATTTTGTTGTTGTTGTTTTTTGTTGTTTTTAGCTCACCTGTCACAAAGTGACAGGGTGAGCTTTTGTGATTGCTTTTCGTCTGGCGTCCGTCCGTCCGTCGTCCGTAAACTTTTACTTTAAATGACATCTCCTCATAAACCACTAAGCTAATTTCATCCAAACTTCACAGGAATGTTCCTTTGGTGGTCACCTTTAAAAATTGTTCAAAGAATTTAATTCCATGCAGAACTCTGGTTGCCATGGCAACCGAAAGAAAAAACTTTAAATATCTTCTTTTAAAAAACCCAAAGAGCTAGAGCTTAGATATTTGGCATGAAACATCTTCTAGTAAGTGTCTACCAAGTTTGTTCAAATAAAAGCCCTTGGGTCAAAATTGGCCCCGCCCAAGGGGGTCATTGATTTTTCCTATATACATAAAGTAAAAACTTAAAAAATTTTCTTTTAAAGAACCCATGGAGCTAGAGCTAAGATATTTAGCATGAAACATCTTCTAATAAGTGTCTACCAAGTTTGTTCAAATAAAAGCCCTGGGGTCAAAATTGGCCCCGCCCCAGGGGGTCATTGATTTTCCCTATATGCATATAGTAAAAACTTAAAAAATCTTCTTTTAAAAAACCCAAAGAGCTAGAGCTTAGATATTTGGCATGTACATCTTTTAGTAAGTGTCTACCAAGTTTGTTCAAATAAAAGCCCTGGGGTCAAAATTGGCCCGCCCCGGGGGTCATTGATTTTCCCTATATGCATATAGTAAAAACTTAAAAATTCTTCTTTTAAACAACCCAAAGATTTAGCATGAAACATCTTCTAATGGGTGTCTACAAAGTTTGTTCAAATAAAAGCCCTGGGGTCAAAATTGGCCCCGCCCGAGGGGGTGATTGATTTTCTCTATATGCATATAGTAAAAACTTAAAAAATCTTCTTTTAAAGAACCCAAAGAGCTAGAGCTAAGATATTTAGCATGAAACATCTTCTAATAAGTGTCTACCAAGTTTGTTCAATTAAAAGCCCTGGGGTCAAAATTAGCCCCGCCCCACGGGGTCATTGATTTTCCCTATATACATATAGTAAAAACTTAAAAAATCTTCTTTTAAAAAACCCAAAGAGCTAGAGCTTAGATATTTGGCATGAAACATCTTCTAATAAGTGTCTACCAAGTTTGTTCAAATAAAAGCCCTGGGTCAAAATTGGCCCCGCCCCAGGGGGTCATTGATTTTCCCTATATGCATATAGTAAAAACTTAAAAAGTCTTCTTTTAAAAAACCCATAGAGCTAGAGCTAAGATATTTAGCATGAAACATCTTCTAATAAGTGTCTACCAAGTTTGTTCAAATAAAAGCCCTGGGGTCAAAACTGGCCCCGCCCCAGGGGGTCATTGATTTTCCCAATATGCATATAGTAAAAACTTAAAAAATCTTCTTTTAAACAACCCAAAGATTTAGCATGAAACATGTTCTAATGGAAATCTACAAAGTTTGTTCAAATAAAAGCCCTGGGGTCAAAATTGGCCCCGCCCCAGGGGGTGATTGATTTTCCCTATATGCATATAGTAAAAACTTAAAAAATCTTCTTTTAAAGAACCCATAGAGCTAGAGCTAAGATATTTAGCATGAAACATCTTCTAATAAGTGTCTACCAAGTTTGTTCAAATAAAAGCCCTGGGGTCAAAATTGGCCCCGCCCCAGGGGGTCATTGATTTTCCCTATATGCATATAGTATAAAAACTTCAAAAATCTTCTTTTAAAGAACCCAAAGAGCTAGAGCTATGATATTTAGCATGAAACATGTGCTAATGGGTGTCTACAAAGTTTGTTCAAATAAAAGCCCTGGGGTCAAATTGGCCCGCCCCCGGGGGTCATTGATTTTCCTTATATGTGTATAGCAAAAACTTAAAAAATCTTCTTTGAAAAAAACCCAAATAGCTAGAGTTTAGATTTTAATCATGAAACATCTTCTAGTGAGTGTCTACAAAGTTTGTTCAAATAAAAGCCCTGGGGTCAAAATTGGCCCGGCCCTGGGGTCATTGATTTTCCTTATATGTGTAAAGAAAAAACTTAAAAATCTTCTTTGAAAAAACCCAAATAGCTAGAGTTTAGATATTAAGCATGAAACATCTTCTGGTAAGTGTCTACAAAGTTTGTTCAAATAACAGCCCTGGGGCTAAAACTGGCCCCGCCCCAGAGGTGTCATTGTTTTTAACTATATGTGTATAGTAAAAATTTAAAAAAACTTCTTTTAAAAAACCCAATAAGCTACAGGTTAGATTGTAGGAAACATCTTTTTTGTGGGTGTCTACCAAGTTTGTTCAAATAAAAGCCCTTGGGTTAAAATTGGCCCTGCCAAAGGGGGGGGGGGGGGGTCATTGTTTTTCATTATATGTGTGTAGTAAAAACTTAACATCATGAAACATCTTCTAATGAGTGTCTTCCAAGTTTGTTCAAATAAAAGCCCTGGGGTTTAAACTAGCCCGTTCCGGGGGTCTAAATACAGGTGAGCGACCTCAGGGCCATCATGGCCCTTTTGTTTTTTGTTGTTTTTTTTGGGGGGGGGGAGGGGGTATTTTTGTTGTTTGGGTTTAAAGTTGAACTAATACAGTGTACAACAAACATGTACGGCGACTTTCTGTCTTTACTGGTAGTGGAAGACAGGTGCCCTTCCGTGCATTTTTTCAGGCACAAAGGGGCACCTGAGTAGAACCAGGACCTCCTGTAAGCTAAAGCAGTACAGTGTATTTAAAACTTTATGAATGGATTTGTAGAAATAACCTTTAGATGGAGGAATATTATTTTTAATCATAAGAAAAAAAATGTGATATGAATACTACCATTTTTGAATTCAAGCCACTATTTCACCCTTTGATGTATCCTTGTTGCTTTGGAGAGCGCCGCGCCGCATGAGCTTAACATTTACCTGTAGGACAGTATATGAAAAAAATCTATAATTTCTTGCATTGTTGCTACAATTTTGTCCTGGAGTAATGAAACACATGAATTAAACCTGCTAGTGGTTCTTTTTACTCAGCTATTATATTCGTATGCAAGCTGTCAACTGCAGTATGCAGTGCAATGAAATGGATCGAAGTGTCTGGTAGTCACAAGACTTGATGTATCATACAAGGAACCCTTATGCCTGAGGGGTTGCCTTTACGGGTCGAGGCATCAGAACTGCAGCCATCGTTAAAGCCTGCGTGATCGTAAGAGGCTAGCTCTAGAGGGTGAGGTAGTTTTGGCCCCTCGTGTTGCTTTAAGCTTTTAACACCGAGATCGGCCAAAATCATCTTTTCTCCTAAACTGTGTTGGTGCGGCATTTCCCCTGGCCCCCCTTCCTCCCACAAAAAAGCAAAGGCAAGAAGACTATTAGGAATGTTGATCTAGAAATGCAACAACAACAACAATACTTAGCATCCGGCCCAAATTACAACGAATTTTTGATATATATATATTTTTTATGTATCATGATCTTGAGTCGTCATGGGTTAATTTCCTTGTAAAAAGCGAGATAACCACTAAATATAAATTAATTATTATCGTACTTAGTTACGTCCATTTGTCTTGTGACTCGTTAAAAACCGCGTAAAGTAAATTTGAATACATAGAAGTCAATACATGTAATATATTTCCTCTAGATGAAAACTAGTGAATATCTTTAAAATTCAAAATCAAAGTTTTTGAAAATCAAAATTTAAAAACATTAAAAACTATGAACCAGGTTAACTAATGTCTGTTTGTACTTATACCTGGTCAAGTAAGCAGTGGAGATATCCTACAGAGCTACCTGAACAATAGCATACGTGAGCAGCTGTCTGGAATCCATTTTTTTGTAAAACGTTGAGGTCTGACAACTGAACTGTATATCACCAAATACAATGCACTGTCTTACTGTACGAGTCTTGTGATGTTGTGTTACATCTTTCATGACTGTTGACAATAAAAACCAAGTTTAATCATTTTTACATGAAGTTGTCCAGTTAAGTCTGTAAAAGGTCATACTAAACGTTGTCAAGGTAAATGACGGTAACTACAGATCAATTTCCTCGTCAAGATTGCATGATGATGTGTGATGTGAGCGTTGTACAGGACAAACAGTACACTGCAGAAAAAAATTGAAG